CACGCACACCCTCACACACACACGCACACACATGTGCACACACGCACACGCACTCACACGCTGCATTCGCCCCCCACGCCTCCCCGAGGGGGGGCGGACCAACCTTCTTCACGTCCCTGACGAGCAGGTGCAGCGTGTTGGGCGGCCCGAGTCTCTGCAAGGCAAGCCCGGCTGTGACACGGCCCGGCCGGGCCCGCGGGGGGACAGGCGGGGACTCCGGGCCCGGGCGGCGGGGAGCCCCCCCCCCCCCGCGCACACACGCGCACACGCACCGTGTTGTATAGCTCCTCCAGCCGCGGGACGGTGAGGAAGCGCTGCATGCTGACCCCGTTCTCGATCAGCAGCCTCACGAACTCCACACGGTCCAGCACCAGGGCGTCCAGCATGGCCTGCTCCAGCGCGGTCACCTGGGCCGGGGCGGGCGGCTGGAGGGCTGACCGTGCGCCCCGGCCCCCGGGCCCAGCCTCCCGCCCCGGCCCTCGGCCCCCACCCCGGGCGCGTGGCCTCCGCCCGTCGCAGGCCGCCGGCCACGGCGGGTGACCCTCTGCGTTTCGGTTAATGTTCCCGTGGACGTGGCTGCGGGGCCTCAAACAGGGATGGGCTCCCGGTGATTTCAGAGGGAGGGAGGGAGGGAGGGAGAGAGGGAGGGAGGAAAGGAGGGAGGAGGGGAGGGAGGAAAGGAGGGAGGGAGGGAGAGAGAGAGAGGGAGGGAGGAGGGAGGGAGAGAGAGAGAGAGGGAAGGAGGGAGGGAGGGAAGGAGGGAAAGAGGGAGGGAGGAGGAGAGAGGGAGGGAGGGAGGGAGGGAGGGAGGAGGAGAGAGGGAGGGAGGGAGGGAGGGAGGGAGGGAGGAAGGAGAGAGGAGGGAGAGAGGGAGAGAGGGAGGGAGAGAGAGAGAAGGAGGAAGGGAGGGAGGGAGGGAGAGAGAGAGGGAGAGAGGGAGGGAAGAAGGGAGGGAGGAGGGAGGGAGGAGGGAGGAAGGGAGGAGGGAGGAAGGGAGGAGGGAGGGAGGGCGGGAGGAGGGAGGGAGGGAGAGAAGGAGGGAGGAGGGAGGGAGGAAAGGAGGGAGGAGGGAGGAGGGAGAAGGGAGGGAGGGAGGGAAGAGGGAGGGAGGGAGAGATAGAGGAGGGAGGGAGGAGGGTGGGAGGGAGGGAGGAGGGAGGGAAGGAGGGAGGGAGAGAGGAGGGAGGTAGAGGGGAGGGAGGGAAGGAGGGAGGGAGGGAAAGAGGAGGGAGGGAGGGAGGGAGGAGGGAGGGAGAGAGAGAGAGGGCGGGAGGAGGGCGGGAGGAGGGAGAGAGAGGGAGGAGGGGGGGCGGGAGCCGCGGGCCCACGCACCCAGTTGAGCAGCTCTTGCTTGCGGGGGTCGGCCTCCTCCTCCGCCTCCTCCTTGCCCTTCGCCTGGCGCTTGCCCTTGGCCCGGCCCCTGCTGGTGGCCGTGGGCTGCCTCTTCCCCCGCTCCGTGGCCTTGCTGTCCGCCGGCGGGGCCAGGCTGCCCAGGGGCTGCCGCCGCGGGCACGGGGAGAGCAGGCGTGAGCCGGGGCCGGGGTGGCTCAGCGGACAGAGCGTCGGCTTGGGGGCTGAAGGGCCCCGGGTTCGATTCCGGTCGAGGGCACGGACCTTGGTGGCGGGCGCATCCCCAGTGGGGGGCGTGCAGGAGGCAGCTGATGGATGACTCTCTCTCATCGATGTTTCTAACCCTCTATCCCTCTCCCTTCCAGGGGCTCATTGAACGGAGCCTGAAACTGAGCGCTCTCCATGCAATCGTTGTGTTTCCTTCTAATGAGCGATTTTCTTTCTTTTTTAAATTTTTTTTTCTTTATTTTTATTTAATCTAAAAAATATTTTTTTATTGATTTCAGAGAGGCCGGGGGAGAGACAGAGAAACATCCATGACGAGAGAGAATCATGAGGGGGGAGCGGCGCCTACTGCGTGCCGCCAGGGGGCCGGGTCCCTACTGCACGCCTCTGTGGCCAGGTCCCTACTGCGCGCCCTCGGGGTTGGGGCCAGGTCCCTACTGCGCGCCTCTGTGGCCAGGTCCCTACTGCGCGCCTTCGGGGCCGGGTCCCTACTGCGCGCCTTCGGGGCCGGGTCCCTACTGCGCGCCATCAGGGCCAGGCCGGACTGAGGGGGCCCCCGGGGCAGACCGCTCACCGGCCAGTGGGGCCCGAAGACGAAGATCTGGCTCCGGGCAATATCCACGCGGTTCCAGGCCAGCGCCAGGCTCAGCTGGTCCGGGGCGGACGCGTTGGTCCCTGGGAAGGCGAGGGGGCAGGCCGGGCTCTCCGTGTGCCCGGGGGGCAGGCCGGGCTCTCCGTGTGCCCGGGGGGCAGGCCGGGCTCTCCCTGTGCCCTGGCCACCGGGCCCCGGGCGCGGGGCGGCGAGCAGGGCTCCAGGCCGCCTCCCTCCCCGCCCCCGGCAGAGCTCACCCTTCAGCAGGGCGGTCAGAATCGCCATCTCCATGTCCGGCTGCCCCTCAGCGCCCATCCTGAACACCGTCACCTGGGGCAGTTCGTGCAGAAAGACCGGGTCAGGGGAGGTTGGCAGGAGGAGGCAGGGTCGGTGTTTCTGACAAAGGACGGCGGAGGCCGACACGTACGCCACGCAGCTGCAGCGACTCCGACAGCAAAACCGTCTCATCTTAGTTACCGGCCGTGGGAGCGCACTGTCCCTGCCCCGAGCGTCTGCCCTCCGGTGGCCAGCGCGCGCCATAGCGACCGGTTCGCCGGTTATTGGACCGCTTTAGGCTTTTATACGTACGGATTCTTTTAATATGTGTACGTTGATTCCGGCCCTTGCCGGTCTGGCTCCGTGGCTAGAGCCTCGGCCCAGGGACTCGGGGTCCCGGGTTCGATGCCGGCCAAGGGCACATATCTCGGTGGCCGGCTCCTCTCCGGTCGGGGCGCATGCAGGAGGCACACCCCACTGGTGGGCTTCTCTCAGATCGAGGCTTCTCTCTGCCTTTCCCGCTCTCTCTCTCCCTCTCACACACACACCCTCTGGAAAATCCCCGGGAGGATTCATAAAAAATAGACAAGGAGCCCAGACGCTCACCAGCTCCTTCCTCTTCATGCACTCCGCCAGCACCGCCAGCAGCTGCAGCGCGTGGGGCCGGCTGCAGTTGAATGTCTTCTGGATGGTGACCAGCAGCTGGTCGCGCAGTGGCTCGCCGATGACCCTGTACCAGGCAGATGCCCGAGAGAGAAGAGGAATAGCCCGCCTGAGGCCCCTCCGAGCAAGCCGACACCTGGCCCCCGGCCCACCCGGGATCTTTAAAAAAAAAAAAGAAAAAAAATGTATAATATATGTTATTGATTTCTTTACAGAGAGGAGGAGAGAGAGAGAGAGAGAGAGTTAGAAACATGGATGAGAAACATCGATCAGCCGCCTCCTGCACGCCCCCCACTGGGGATGTGCCCGCCACCAAGGTCCATGCCCTTGGCCGGAATCGAACCCGGGACCCCTCCGTCCGCAGGCCGGCGCTCCATCCACTGAGCCACACCGGGGAGGGCCACCTGGGATCTTTTCTTTGTTTGTTTGTGAATCCTCACCCATTGATGTTTAGAGAGAGTGGGAGGAAGAGAGAGAGAGAGAGAGAGAGAGAGAGACACACACATCGATGGGAGAGAGACACACCGATGGGCTGCCTCCTGTGTGAGCTTCCGGCCAGGGCCTCGGGCCGGGGAGGAGCCTGCCACCCAGGTACGTGCCCCCCTTGACCGGGAATCGAACCCGGGACCCCTCCGTCCACAGGCTGACGCTCTACCCACCGAGCCACACCGGTTTTGGCCAATCAAATAGATTTTAAAATAGAAAATGTTCCTTTCTGAAGCTTCTCCGGAGTGACCTTGGCACCCAGCCCCGCCCCGGCCCCCGGTCCCCGGCCCCCGGCCCCCTGCGGGCAGAGTCCTACCCTCCGTCCTCGCAGTACTTGTGCGCGAAGGACAGGATGTCAGAGGCCCGGCCGCTGCCGTCGCACACCACCACGGGCACCGGGGGCTCCTCCTGTAGGTACTCCAGCACCACGGAGAAGACGTTGGGGCCCCCCTCCACCACCAGGCCCACCACCGGCACGCCCTGGCCCAGGCCTGCAACACAGCCGCCCCCGAGGCCCGTCACTGCCACGGCCGCCGGCGCCCGCCCGCCCGCCCCACGCCCGCCCGCCCATCCATGCCCATGGCAGGGAGTCCTCCGGATCCACTGTCAGGGAGAGGGCGAGGGGGGGGGAGGGAGAGAGAGACATCGATGGGAGGGAGACACAGCCGTGGGCTGGGGTTCGAGCGTGCAGCCACGGGCCGTGTCCTTGGCTGCAAATGGAACCTGCGACCCTCCCGTCTGCGGGTCAGCGATCTAACTCATTTATTTATCTATTTAAATATATTTTATTGGCTTTTGTTACGGAGAGGAAGGGAGAGGGAGAGAGAGTTAGAAACATCGATGATGAGAGAGAAACACCGACCAGCTGCCTCTTGCACGCCCCCCACTGGGGATGTGCCCGCAACCAAGGTATGTGCCCTTGACCGGAATCAAACCCGGGACCCTTCGGTCCGCAGGCCGACGCTCTATCCACTGAGCCACACCAGTTTCGGCTTTTATTTTTTATTTTTTAAAAAAAATAAATTTATTGATTTTTTACAGAGAGGAAAGGAGCGAGATAGAGAGCTAGAAATGTTGATGAGAGAGAAACATCGACCAGCTGCCTCTTGCACGCCCCCCCACTGGGGATGTGCCCGCAACCAAGGTCCATGCCCTTGACCGGAATCGAACCCGGGACCCTTCAGTCCGCAGCCCGACGCTCTATCCACTGAGCCATACCGGTTTCAGCTTTTATTTTTTTAATGGACCCAGATGACATGGCCCCACCCAGCCTCTGAGTTCCCCAACCCAAGACGATCTTGGCAGGAATATGGTGGCTTCATCTCCTTCCTCCGCCGGACCCCGAGACCCCACGCTGGGAGGGGGCCGGCCGAGCACCCCTTTGCCGTCCCCGCCCCGCTCAGAGCCCGAGGCAAAGGATGACAAAGGGAAGCCCGGCAGGCCCGGGGAGAACGGAACACGCCGGGGAGGAAGGGACACGGAGAGGGACCGTCCCGGCGCCGGCCGGCTCTCCGAGGAGCCTGGCAGCCACCCCACGGCCGTGCGAGACGTCCCTCTGACTGCCCTCCATTCCTGGTTCTTTCATAGCAGCCCATAGGGCCCGCCAGTGTGCCGGTGGTTGAGTGTCAGCCTATGAGCCAGGAGGTCAGGGTTCTAGTCCCGGTCAGGGCACAGGCCCGGGCTGTGGGCTCCATCCCCAGCAGGAAGCAGCCGGTCCATGATTCTCTCTCATCATTGGTGTTTCTTTCTCTCTCTCCCTTGCTCTCTGAAATCAATAAGAAAAAATGTTTAAGAAAGAAAGAAAGAGAGAGAGAGAGAGAGAGAGAGGAAGGAAGGAAGGAAGGAAGGAAGGAAGGAAGGAAGGAAGGAAGGAAGGAAGGAAGGAAGGAAGGAAGGGAGGGAAAAAGAGCCCTAACCGGTTAGGCTCGGTGAACAGAGCGTCGGCCTGCGGACTCAAGGACCCCAGATTTGATTCCGGTCAAGGACATGAACCTTTTGCGGGCACATCCCCAGGTGGGGGCGTGCAGGAGGCAGCTGATGGATGTTTCTCTCTCATTGATGTTTCTAACTCTCTCTCCCTCGCCCTTCCTCTCTATAAATAATCGATAATACATATATATATATTTTAAAAGAATATATTTGAAAGAAAGGAAGAAGGAAAGAAAGAAGGAAGGAAGTCAAGTCAAGTCATTTTCTGTGGATCTAACAGGAGCAAGGCCCGGGCGGTGGCGTGGCCGTGGCCGTGGCCGTGGCTGCACTCACGTGTGTTGATCTTCTGCAGGGAGATGTGCTTCTCCAGCTGCCGCCGCAGCTTCACCTCGGCGCCATAGCGACCCAGTGTGCCGTTGTCGGCCAGGACGAAGTGCGTGTGGGAGGAGTTGAGCACGGACAGCTTGCTCAGCGGGTTGGACATGGTCTGGTAGAGCCGGGTCACCTGGCGAGAGGCCGGGCCCCCGTCAGAGCCGCCGCCCCACGCCGTGTCCCCCGCGGGTCCCTGTTCCCGTCCCACCCTTTCTCTGATGGACTTTTATTTCTTTTAAATGTCTATATTAAATTATTATTATTTTAAAAATATATTTTATTGCTTTTTTTACAGAGAGGAAGGGAGAGGGATAGAGAGTCAGAATCATCGATGGGAGAGAAACATCCATCAGCTGCCTCCCTACTGGGGATGTGCCCGCCACCAAGGTGCATGCCCTTGACTGGAATTGAACCTGGGACCCTTGAGTCTGCAGGCCAACGCTCTATCCACTGAGGCAAATCAGTTACATTGGATTCAGAAAGAGGAAGGGAGATGGAGAGAGAGAGAGAAACATTGATGATGAGAGAGAATCATGGATCGGCTGCCTCCTGCATGCCCCGCACTGGGGATGGAGCCCACAACCCGGGCCTGTGCCATGACCGGGAATTGAACCAGTGACCTCCAGGTTCCTAGGTCAACATGCAATCATGAAGCCACGTTGGCTGGGCTGAGGGATACGTTTCTTTTGGAAAATGCCAGCCCAGCCATTGTACTCCTGGGCATCGATGGCCAAGAAATGAAAAAATACGTTAACACAGAGTCCCACGGGTAGCCCGGCTCCATGGCTCAGTGGTGGAGTGTTACCCTAGGGACCAGGAGGTCCCGGTTTGATTTCCTGTCAGGGACACAGGCCCGGGTTGCGGGCTCCATCCCCAGGAGGGGGTGTGCAGGAGGCAGGTGATCGATGCTTCTCTCTCATCGATGTTTCTAACTCCCTATCCCTCTCCTTTCCTCTCTGTACAAAATCAAGAAGGTATATAAAAAAAAATAAAATTAATAAAATAATAATAATAACAACAAATTAAATAAATAAACACATAACCCCGTGGAATAAAAAGGGCCCCATTGGGACGTCCCGTCAGCTCGGTGAGACATCGGTCACGGCTGCAGGAAGGGAGAAGGGTGGACGGGTGCTGACTCCCTCACCCCCACCCAGAGGACAGACCTGGACCGGACAGTCCCCAGAGGACAGTCCCCAGGGGGACTCCCCCACCCCCACCCAGAGGACAGACCTGGACCGTCTTTGAGTCGAGGCGTCCAGAAACGACGGCGGTGACCCGTGGCTGGAGGCCGGTGTTGGAAGGGGATGTGGGACGGGGTCGGGGGACGAGGGAGGGGAGGATGGGGGACGGGGGGACGGGAGGAGGATGGGGCACTCACGTCCCTCCCCAGCAGGTCCTCCTTGTTCTCCACCAGGCCCCAGGGCGCAATGCCGATGGCGCAGACGCGGCCCCGCGAGGTGGAGGCGTGCTCCTTCAGCGCGTCCCCCACGTGGCTGATGACCCCTGCGGGCGCCCGTGAGGCCCGTGAGCAAGGCCCCTCCGTCCCTCCCGCCGGGGGCCGGTCACGGCTGTGGGCGGGGCGGGGTGGGAGGGGGGCTCCCTGGGGGGCCGGTGGGGACATGGTGGGCTCTGTCACCGAGGGAAGGCACCGGCCGGGGGCCTGGCTCAGGGCTGAGCGTCGGCCTGGGAACCAGGAGGTCAGGGTTCGAGTCCCGGTCAGGGCACAGGCCTGGGTTATGGGCTCCATCCTCCGTGTGGGGCGTGCAGGAGGCAGCCGATCCGTGGTTCTCTCTCATCAGGGATGTTTCTCTCTCTCTCTCTCTCTCTCTCTCCTTCTGCAATCATATATATATATATATATATGTATGTATATATATATCTTTTTTAAAAATATATTTCATTGATTTTTCTTACAGAGAGGAAAGGAGAGAGATAGAGAGCTAGAAACATCGATGAGAGAGAATCATGGATCAGCTGCCTCCTGCACATCCCCTATCGGGGATGAGCCTGCAGCCAAGGCACATGCCCTTGACCGGAATCGAACCCGGGACCCTTCCGTCCGCAGGCCGACGCTCTATCCACTGAGCCACACCGGTTTCGGCTATTTTTTTTTTTCCCTTTTCTTTTTAATCTTCACCCAAAGACATTTTCCCATGGATTTTTAGGGGGAGGGAAGGACAGAGAGAAACATCGACGTGAGAGAGACACATCAACGGCTGCCTCCTACACACGCGCCTCAACCAGGGACCGGCCTGGGGAGGAGCCTGCCCTCGACTGGAATCGAACCCGGGGCCCTTCCGTCCACCGTCCGACGCTCTCTACCCACCAAACCAAACCGGCTCGGGCAGTAAAACTATATCTCTTCTCCTTTCTCCCTTACGATACATATTTTAAAACACAAACACACAAACAGCTGGCCCGAGAGGCGGCCCCTGCGGCTCTTCCCCCTCGGCCGGCCCCGGTCCGTGTGTGCCCGCGGCCGGCCGGGGCGGGGGACCCGTGCGCTCACCCGTGCTGACGCCCCCGGTGAAGATCCAGGCGCCCGTGGTCACGGCGGCCTTGACCAGGCCCTTGCCGAACACCTGCTTGAGCTTGGGCGGCAGCGGGAAGGCCTGCAGGCCCCCGTGCACCGAGACGAGCAGCTTGGGCAGCTCCAGCTGCCAGTCCTTCACCATGAGGTGCAGCAGCGCGTCCGGCTTCGTGTCGTGGGCCAGGCGGACGTACTGCAGGAGAGGGGGCTCAGCGGGCGGGGGCCGGGCCGGGCGGGGCCCGGGGGCCGGGGCTGTCGCCCGTGTCCAAGCCAGGGCCCGCCTGCACGGCCTGTCCAGCCTGCGTGGCTGCGTGCTGGAGCATCGACCTTTGAACCAGGAGGTCAGAGGTCAATGTCTAGTTCAGGGCCCAGGCCCGGGTTGCGTTGCAGGCTCCATCCCCGGTGGGGGGGCGTGCCGGAGGTGGCCGGTCCGTGTTTCTCTCTCATTGATGTTTCTATGTTTTGTTTTTTTAATTTCTAATAGCAGCTGTTGTTTTTGTTTTTAAAATATATTTTATTGATTCTTTACAGAGAGGAAGGGAGAGAGGGAGCGCGAGCTAGAAACATCGATGAGAGAGAAACATCCATCCGCTGCCTCCTGCACGCCCCCCCACTGGGGATGTGCCCGCCACGGAGGTGCATGCCCTTGCCCGGAATCGAACCCGGGACCTTTCCGTCCGCAGGCCGACGCTCTGTCCACGGAGCCACACCGGCTTTGGCCAAACAGCAGTTTTTATATAAGACAGATGCTTCGTAAGAAGACTATACAATTTCCGAAAGGATAGTGATTTGGACACAAGAGAATATGCAATTTAAGTTTCCTTTTAGAATATATATATATATACACACATATATATATAATATATATATATAGATGACATTTAAATTATTTTGTTGATAAACGTTTTCAAAGATGAATTTAAAATAATTAATAGGGCCCTAGCTACAGTACTTTATTTATTAATAAATCTTTATGGTTCCGATTATTAGAATTGTTTTCCTTTCTCCTCCTCCCGCAAAGCTCCCTGGACCGGGCCCCTCACCATGGCTTTGTTGCAGTAGCCGCCGCCCTGGAACTCCAGCGTGCCGTAGGCGTCGGTCGGGTAGGCCTGGGTGTGTCTGGCCACCGACCACTTCTCCGGGGGCCCCTCCGGCTCCCGGCTCTCCTCCCCATTTTTGGCGGACGCCACGCCGGGCGGAGGCGGGACATGCAGGCTGATGAGCTGGCCGCAGCAACACCTGGCGACAGGCAAAACAGCTCTCTCTCTCTCTCCTTCTCTCTCATCAATGTTCCTCTCTCTCTCTCTCTCTCTCTCCCTCTCTCTCATCAATGTTCCTCTCTCTCTCTCTCTCATCGATGTTTCTCTCATCAATGTTCCTCTCTCACTCTCTCTCTCTCACATCAATGTTTCTCTCTCTCTCTCATCAGTGTTTCTCTCTCTCATCAGTGTTTCTCTCTCTCACTTCCCCTTTCACTCTGTCTGAAAGTCAATGGGAAAAATATCTTGGGCGAGGCAACTGGCGGGTCTGGGCCATGGTTTTTGTTTTTGTTTTTTAATTAAAAAAAATATATATACTTTATTGATGTTTTACCAAGAGGAAGGGAGAGGGATAGAGAGCTAGAAACATCGATGAGAGAGAAACACCCATCAGCTGCCTCCTGCACACCCCCTCCTGGGGACGTGGACGCCACCAAGGTCCATGCCCTTGATCGGAATCGAACTCGGGACCCCTCAGTCCACAGGCCGACGCTGTGTCCACGGCGCCACACCGGCCATGGCTGGGCCGTGGTTACCTGCTGGGGTCCTTGGTGCTGGGCACCACGCAGATGCACTCTCGCCGGCAGAAGGTCCTCTCGATCCACGCCTTGTGTCCCTGGAAGACACGGAGGGGTGGCCCTGAGGCCCGGGTCTCCCCCCCGCCTCCCTCAGCCTCCACGCTCTCCCTCCTCCCCACTCTCTGTCGTCACATGCACCCGCCCTCCCCAGGACGGACGGGTGGACCCGGCCGGCGTGTGGCTCAGTGGGCAGCGCGCCGCCGTCGGGCCTGCGGACCCGAAAAGGGCCCCCCCCCCCCCCGCCCTGGGTTCCCAGGTTCGATCCCCGGGCGAGTCTGCGTGGAAGAAGTGGCGTGGGAAGAAGTTTACGTTTGAAGCGTGTGGCTCTCCGAAGAAATGTCTGCGGACCCATCATGAGTTTGCTCCTGACCGCTGTTCTGGACCACGCCCACCCGAAGGGGAGGACCCTGCCATGAGGGGTGCGGGAGGGAGGGCTGGGGCTGGGGTGCAGGGATGGGGGAGGGGGGAGGCTCTGAGGGGCAGGCGGGGCCCGGGCCACAGGACGTGGCTTGGGTGGGGCCTGGGCACGTGAAGCCTCGGACGTGGCTTCTGAAAAGGCCCGGAGAGTCTCTGTTTACTCCTCCTCGCCGCCCGGTGTCTCTGGGCCAAAAGGAACAGCCAACCCCGCCCGCAGCCAAATGACGGGGACCCGCTCAGCCAGAAGACGTCCCGGCCGGCCGGCCAGCCGGCCTCCGGGGTCTATTTCGAGCGGCTGTCACCCTGCGGCCGCCGGTGGCCACACAGGGACCCGGCCTGACCCCTGCAGACCCAGAATCGCCGCCGCCGCCGGGATCCACGGTGCCGCCCAGTGGTCAGAGCGCCCGCCCCGGCACCCGAGAGCGGCAGCAGGTTCGAGCCCCCGGTCCAGGGCAGGACCCTGGGTGGCAGCTCCGTTCCTGGCCCCCGGTTGGGGTGTGTGTGTGTGTGAGGAGGGCCACCCACCCACGGTGTCTCTGCACAAAACATTCAAAACCACGACTCGGCTAAAATCGCATCTCGCCTGCCGGTGTCGTCCACGCTGGCTACACCAGGAACCGGGGCTAGCGAGGTGAGATCAGGACCCAGGTTAGCCAGCCTCGTCCGGCGTAGCTAACCCTGCCCACTGGTTCAGTCAACCTAATCCAGTCTATAGCCAGCGCCACCCACTGATGGAAGCAGCCGGATCCAGGCCGGCTCTGTGGGTTTAATCACGTTAGCTCGATCTCGTTAACCTCATGAGGGCCTAATCAGCTTAGTGCATACTCGCAGATCTCCTCTGGTGACAGAAAGCCAATGAAGTCATCCCAGCGCCGGTCTGGCCCCGTGGATGGAAAGGTCCCGGGTTCGATTCCAGGTCAGGGCACAGGCCCAGGTGGCCGGCTCGACCCCCAGTGTGGGGCGTGCAGGAGGCCGCCGACCCGTGATCCTCTCTCCTCATGGATGTTTCTCTCTCTCCCCCTCTTCCTTCCTCTCTGACATCAATAAAAATATAGAAGAAGAAGAAGAAGGAAGAAGAAGAAGAAGAAGAAGAAGAAGAAGAAGAAGAAGAAGAAGAAGAAGAAGAAGAAGAAAAAAAAAAGGAGAAGGAGGAGGAGGAGGAGAAGGAGGAGGGGGAGCCGCCAGCTAGTTGGGGCCGGGTCGTGACTGGCTGACACAGGGCTTGTCCCCTGGGAAATCACCCAGCACCCGGGCCGTTCGCGGGTCCCCTGGCCTCCCCAGGCCCCCGTGCAGCCGGCCTCGGCGGGAGACGAGCTCAAGGCCGCGGGGGCCCAGCCCTCGCCGAGCAGAGCCGCCCTGAGCTTACCTGGGCCCGTGGCCGAGCCGGGGAGGGTGCAGCCTCCTCCTCCACCTCCTCCTCCTCCTCCTCCTCCTCCTCGGCTGGGCAGGAAGCCGCCGAGGAGGACCCTCCCTTTAAGAGCATGCCCAGGAGCGGCATGTGAGCGCCCGTGTCCCGCCCGCATGATCCGGGCGAGGCCCCGGCCCCGTGACCTCCCTCCCTCGCTCCCGCCCTCCAGGGCCGCCCGGCCGCCCCACGTGGCCTCCCAGGGACACTGCCCGGGGGCCCTTCCCTTTGAAGCGACCCCCGCCCCCTCCCCGGCCGGTCCTTCCCCGGCCAGGCACGTCAGTGTGGCTGCATCACGGGGAGGGTCGGATGACCCGGTGCCTCGGGCGGCAGAGTCAGAGGTCACGGTGACCAGGGCTCTGAAGGCCCCGTGCGTCCCACCGGGCTGGCCCTCGGCGCCCGACGGACACCGCCCCCTGGCAGCAGCCGGAGGACCCCCTCTGCGGCACGCCGGCCGGGAGCCGTGTGCGGCCGTGGGCACGGTCATTCCCCCTGCGGAACGGCGATGACAGCCAACTCCTACCCCTTCTGCTTCCTCCCCGGACGGCGTGTCTCCGTGAGGGTCAGGCCATCGGGGCCGCGTTGTGTGCAGAGAGGGAGAGGGGGGTCTGTGACCGCGGCCGGCACACTCATCGTCCACAGAGCCGGCCGCGGCTTCAGGAGGCCTCTGCGATCTTTTTAAAATTATTTTAAAAAATATATTTTATTGATTTTTATTTATTTATTTATTTTTTTTACAGAGAGGAAGAGCGAGGGATAGAGAGCTAGACACATCGGTGAGAGAATCAGCAAAAAGCTGCCTCTTGCACAACGCCTACAGGCCCTTGACCGGAATCGAACCCGGGACCCTTCCGCCCACAGGCCGACGCTCTATCCACTGAGCCACACCGGTTTCGGCTGCCTCTGCGCTCCTGCCCCGGCCGGCGTGTCTCATTGGGTGAGCACTGGGTCACCGGTTTGATTCCCACACGTTCCCGGGTTGGGGGCCCCATCCCCCGTGGGGGGCGTGCAGGAGGCAGCCGATCCGTGGGATTCTCTGCCATCACAGTGCTTCTCTCTCTCTCTCTCTCTCTCTGAAATCAATGTTAAAAGCACACATTTTTGCCAAAGCCAGTGTTGCTCAGTGGATAGAGCGTCGGCCTGCGGACGGAAGGGCCCCGGGTTCGATTCCGGTCAAGGGCATGGACCTTGGTGGCGGGCACATCCCCAGTGGAGTGTGTGTGTGTGTGTGTGTGTGTATGTGCAGGAGGCAGCTGATCGATGTTTCTGACTCTCTATCCCTCTCCCTTCCTCTCTGTAAAAAAAAAATAAAATATATATATATTTTTAAAAACACACACATTTTTTTTAAAAAAAGATCTATTCTTCTTAGCAACCCCTCAGGCGTACAGGACAGGGGGTATCCCTGAATCACCCTTCCCGTGTACCCCAAACCCACCCGCCAGCCACCTCTCTGACTCTTTCCTGAGGCAGGAGAGCCCAGCGCAGCCACGGCGCCCCCCCTCCCCGGGGCCAGCCCGCTGCTCTGAACACTAAGGGGCCCCGGGGCGCCAGCTCAGCCCTCTGCTGCCCCCGCCTGGCCACACTGCAGTCTGCGCCAGGCGGACGGCCCAGGAGGTGGAGGGAGACAGAGGGGCGCAGGGGAGGGGAGAGAGAACCCCTGAGCTGGCTCCCCACCTCTGTATGATTCTCCCGGGATCCCAAGCGGACGGCTTAGCCCCGGACGGCCTCGTTAAGAGTGTAAGTCGCTTAAGGGGCCGCGGGGCCCAGGATAAGCACGGCCGGCTCTCAGCAGCTCAGCGGCCGGCCTGCTGCCCGGGTCCAGGTTTTATCCGGGACATTAATCACTCAGAGCTGACATGAGGGGGCATTAGCCCGCCAGCTGCTGCCCTTCCCCGCCCGCCCCGGCCCCGGCCCTCATGCATGTCCACTCGGTCAGCACCCTCCACCCTGGTCCAGGGGTGTGCTCTCCCTCCCCGCCCCCTCTGTGATCCCCCCTCTTTAAAAAATACATTTTTATTGATCTCAGAGAGGAAGGGAGAGGGAGGGAGAGAGAAACATCCGTGATGAGAGAGAACCACGGATCGGCTGCCTCCTGCACGCCCCACCTGGGGGATGGAGCCTGCAACCCGGGCCTGTGTCCTGAGCAGGTAATCGAACCTTGACCTCCTGGTTCCTAGGCTGATGCTCAGCCAACGGGGCCACGCCGGCCGGGCTGGTTTGCAATTTTTTTAAAAATATATATTTTATTGATTTTTTACAGAGAGGAAGGGAAAGGGATAGAGAGAAACACGGATCATCTGCCTCTTGCACACCCCCTACTGGGGATGTGCCCGCAACCAAGGTCCATGCCCTTGACCCGGATCGAACTTGAGACCCTTGAGTCTGCAGGCCGACGCTCTATCCACGGAGCCACACAGGTTTCGGTTGGATGTATTTTTTTTTTTGGAAGCGAGAGGGAAAGACAGAGAGAGGAAACATCGATGAGAGAAGAGAAACACATCGATGGGCCGCCCCCGATCAGGGCCCAGGCCTGGCCGGGGGTGGGGTGGGGAGGGGCGAGGAGCCTGCCACCGAGGGTCACGCTCTTGACCAGAGTCGAAACCCGGGACCCCGCGGTCCGCAGGCTGACGGCGCGCTACCCACTGAGCCACCCCGGCAGGGGCCCACTGACCTTCTGCGATCCCGAGGTGGAACTGCGAAGGGAGCTCCGCTTGAAGGAGCTGCTCATCTTCCTCGGGGAGCCCATGGCCATCTCCTGCACCCCCACACGCACCGGGGCAGCCCCCCGGTCCCCGCACAAGGAGGCCCGGGGCCTGGGCCGGGCGGCTGCCTCTGGTCAGCCCCGGAGCATCGGACTGGCCCGGCCCGCAGGCTCCCGTCCTCCTATAACATCTGGCGTCGCCGTAATCCTCCCCCCCCCCCGGGGCAGGGGCCACCGATTTAGCAAATGGAAGGCAAATCTCCCCCGGCCAGGCGGAGGTTGCAGGGCGGGGGGTCCATGGGGGGTGGGGGATCCAGAGAGGCAGCCCTGACAGCTGGCGTCTGAGCCCCCCACTTCCCACGTGAGCTCCGAGGCCCGGCCTCGGCTCAGGCTCCCTCCTCCACGGCCCCCTGTTGCTTTGGCGGCGAGGAGATGAACGAGATAAATATATATATATATATATATATATATATATATATATATATATATATATATATATATATTTAATTTAATATATTTTATTGATTTTTTTACAGAGAGGAAGACAGAGGGAGAGAGAGCTAGAAACATCGATGAGAGAGAAACATCCATCAGCTGCCTCCTGCACACCCCCTACCAGGGATGTGCCTGCAACCAAGGCCCATGCCCTTGACCGGAATCGAACCTGGGACCCTTCCGTCCACAGGCCGACGCTCTATCCACTGAGCCACACCGGTCAGGACTCTATTGATTTTTATTTATTTTTTATTTTATTAAATATTTTTAAAAATTTTTTTATTGATTTTTTTTTTTCAACAGGGAAGAAGAGAGAGGGAGAGAGAGCTAGAAACATCGATGAGAGAGAAACATCCATCAGCTGCCTCCTGCACAGCCCCTACCGGGGATGTGCCCGCAACCAAGGCACATGCCCTTGACCGGAACCGAACCTGGGACCCTCGAGTCTGCAGGCTGACGCTCTGTCCACTGAGCCACACCACCTAGGACTCCACTGATTTTTAGAGAGAGTAGTAGAGAGGAGAGGCACACGAGAGAGAAACATGGATGTGCAAGAAACACAACGATGGTTTGGTTGCCTCTTGCACACACCCTCCCCCCCCCAACCAGGGCCCCGGGCCGGGGACGGAGCCTGCCACCGAGGTACGTGCCCTTGACCGGAATCGAACCCGGGACCCTTCAGTCTCCGAGGCTTTGGCGGTAGGGCTCTTGTCCAGGCTTAAGCGTCCTGCATTTTGGAGCCGTCTCTCACGGGATTAAAGGATGGCCAGCCAGCCAACCGGCCGGCGGAGCCGGCTTAGAGCGGAGCCCCTAAATGGAAGCAGGAGGGGTGGGGGGGTCCCGGGAGGGTGAGCCGAGGGGACAGCAGGGCCCTCTGGGCGGCCGACAGCTGGCCCTGCTCCTGTCCATGCCCTCACTGTCCTGGCTTCATCCAGTTTTCTGTGCGGAGTGGAAGAGGATTATTTTGAATTTTTGTCAGGTCATTCATAGGCCTCTGGTTTTTTGTGTTTGTTTGGTTGGTTGGTTCTTTTTCGATTGGTGTCTGGGGAATTGTTCTGTGGCTCTGACTGAGTCCCCTCTCCCGGGTCCTTCACGGGCCCCTGTTAGTTTTCTATCGTGTTTTGTGCAGGTGAGAGAGGTCACCCCTCCCAGTCTTCACGGGCGGGCTGGCTGGCTTCCTTCACGGTGCCCGCCTCCCCCGCCAGCCTGAGGCTACAGATCCGGAGGGCACCGCACTACGCAGACCTGTGAACCAGGAGGTCAGGGTTCGACTCCCCGTTAGGGCACAGGCCCCGGGCTGCTGGCTCAATCCCCAGTAGGGGGCAGGAGATGCATGATTCTTTCCCATCATGGATGTTCCTCTCTCTCTCTCTCTCCTTCTTTCCTCTATGAAATCGATACAAATATACATATATATATATTTTTAAAAAAATATATATTTTTTTGATTTTTTACAGAGAGGAAGGGAGAGAGAGAGAGAGCCAGAAACGTCGATGAGAGAGAAACATCGACCAGCTGCCTCTTGCACACCCCCTTACTGGGGATGTGCCCGCAACCAACGTACATGCCCCTGACCGGAATCGAACCCGGGACCTTTCAGTCCGCAGGCTGACGCTCTATCCACTGAGCCAAACCGGTTTCGGCACAAATATATTTTTTTGAAAATAATTTAAAAAATACCTTTTGTAAGGATGCATCCTCTGTGGGTTTGGCTGGACGTTCCTTTTCCGGGGAACCTGCAGTCTGTCTCCCTCTGGTGTCCGGATGTGGCACTGCAGGTTCTCTGCGGCTGCCATGCAGGGAGCTTGCTTTTGGCCTGTGTGGGGTCCCCTTCCACCCCACCCCCTGTCCCAGCATCGAAGGGGTGATGGTCCCATCAGTGCTCGGTAATTTTTAAATACATATATTTACTGATTTCAGAGAGGAAGGGAGAGAGAGAGAGAGAGAGAGAGAGAGAGAGAGAGAGAGACATGAGGAGAGAGAACCATGGATCGGCTGCCTCCTGCACGCCCCACACTGGGGATGGAGCCCACACCCCGGGCCTGTGCCCCTGACCGGAAACCGAACCCTGACCTGACCTCCCGGTTCCTAGGTCGACGCTCAGCCTCGGAGCGGGGCGACTCCCTCCAGTTCTGGAATCCTCGTCCGTCTCTCTCCTCCTCCCACGTGGCTCCAGGGCATGGCTGTACTCGACTGGATTTGGCAAACGGGACGTCTGCAGACGAGGCATGAGCGGAGGCTTGCACGGCCTTGGCCCCTCGGGGCCTGCCCTCTCCTGCCAGCAGGAAGCAAGCCCCAGCTGGCCCTCAGCAGAGGCTGGGCGGGGGCCGAGAGAGAGAGAGAGAGAGAGAGAGAGAGAGAGAGAGAGAGAGAGAGAGAGGACCTGGGGGAAAGTCTTCAGCCTGCCCCAGCCCGAGTTGCCAGCCACGAATCAGGACCTCAGTGGCCACTGCTGTGCCCAGCACACAGACGACAATAATGGATAAGGCCGAGGTCTGGGAACTATTTTCACGTGAACGTACTGATGTGGGGGCCCAGCTGGCAAGGCTCCGTGGCTGAGCGTCGACCTGTGAACCAGGAGGTTGTGGGTTGGACTCCCTGTCAGGGCCTCATGCCTGATCCCCAGAAAGGGGGGTGTGCAGGACGCAGAGGATCCATGATTCTCTCGCATCATGGATGTTTCTATATCTCTCCCTCTCCCTTCCTCTCTAAAATCAATTAAAAAAAAAAAAAAAACCTGGCTGGTTTGGCTCAGTGGATAGAGCGTCGGCCTGCAGACTGAAGGGTCCTGGGTTCGATTCCAGTCAAGGGCATGGACCTTGGTTGTGGGCACATCCCCAGTAAGAAGTGTGCAGGAGGCAGCTGATGGATGTTTCTCTCTATCCCTCTCCCTTCCTCTCTGTAAAAAAAAAAAAATCAATAAAAAAAATATATATTTTTTAAAAAAAGATGTTTTAAAAGCAAACAAATAGATATCTATCAGAATAAAAGCATGATATGCTAGTTAGACCGGACAGCTAGACGAGCTTCCGGACTGAAGCCGGGGCTGCGAGGGCCGATCTCCCTTGCAGGAATTCCGTGCACCGGGCCTCCAGTGTACGTTAAAGAAAAAACAAAACCCCAAAACCGCATTCACGCGGCCTCTCTCTCACACACTCGCCAGGAGCAGAGTCTTCGTGAATCATCCCCCGGAGCCTGACGCCGTGAATCTCCTCCGTCCACACGCCCGGGCGTGTGGGGCGAGCCGGCGTGGCTAGGTGCAGCCGGCCGCACACAGACATGAAAGGAGGCTGCCTCCTGGCCTCATTATCCAGCGCCGGCTTCCCGAGACCCCGGAGCCTCAGAACGCAGCCGGAGCCGGCGGGGAGGAAGGGAGATCCGGAGGAGATAGCCGGGCCTGTGGCCACAGCGTCAGACAGACACGGAGCCCGGCTGCAGGGGGTGGGGAGATGCTGTTCCTAAAGACGGGCAGGCCCGGTCTCCCCCCAGGGGTTTCCTGAGATCTCCAGCAGGGGCAGCGGGGGGGGGGGGCGGTCCTCAGATCTCTAGCTTGTTTGTTTGGAGTGTGTGTGTGCGTGTGTTTATTTTTTAAAATATATTTTATTGATTTTTTACAGAGAGGAAGGGAGAGGGACAGAGAGAGTCAGAAACATCGATGAGAGAGAAACATCGACCAGCTGCCTCCTGCACACCCTCCTACTGCCCAGGCAAGCCGGACCCCACCCATGCATGAATTCATGCACTGGGCCTCTAAAAAATATATACACTGAGCCAGAGACCCATTTGGCTCCATGGATAGAGGACTGAGAGGACTCAATGGATAGAGCTTTGGGACTGGAGGGACCCGGGTTCGATTCTGGTCAATGGCATGTGCCTTGGTTGTGGGCATATCCCCAGTGGGGGGTGTGCAAGAGGCAGCTGATCGATGACTCTCTCTCATCGATGTTTCTAGCTCTCTATCTCTCTCCCTTCCTCTCTGTACAAAATCGATAAAATATATATATATTTAAAAATATATATATATATATATACACTGAGTGGCCAGATTATTATGCCTTCAGAGATCATACTAATCTGGCCACTCAATATGTGTGTGTGTATGTGTGTGTGTGTGTGTGTGTGTGTGTGTATTTAAAAAAAGAAACAGCCAAACTGGTTCGGCTCAGTGGGTAGAGCCTCGGCCTGTGGACTGAAGGGTCCCGGGTTCGATTCCGGCCAAGGGCATGGACCTTGGTTGCGGGCACATCCCCTGTGTGTGTGTGTGTGTGTGGGGGGGGCGTGCAGGAGGCAGCTGATGGTTGTTTCTCTCTCATCGATGTTTCCAACTCTCCCTCTCTGTAAAAAAATCAATAAAATATATTTAAAAAAAAAATAAAAAACAGAAAGGCATGGCGATGCCCATGAATCATGCGCTGGACAACGGCTGTTCCCCGCGCCTGGCATCACAGAGCATCCTCTGGCCGGGATGCTGGGGACTGGCCCCCGGAGGCCCCGTGGGGTGAGGCCGGGCTGGGGCAGCCCCGGGGGGGGGT